AGGGTTCTCTAAAGAAACAGGACCGGTAGAATATATATTATATATAGGGATTTATCAGATAGCTCACAAGATAGAGTCCGAGTAGTCCAACAATGGCTGCACCACACTGGAGAGGCTGAGAATCCAGTAGTCGCTCAGTCCACAAGGATGGATGTCTCAGTAGTCCTAATCTGGCACTGAAGGTCTGATGAATTCCAAAGGAATTCTTCAGTCTACAGCAGCAAGACGAACTTACCAGTGAGAGAGAAGTCAAATGGCTAAAAGCAAGCCTCTCCTCTGCCATGGCCTTTTATATGGGCTGCCATCAGAAGGTAACACCCACATTTAGGGCGTGTCTTCCAGCTTCAGATGATCCAGTCAAGAAGATCTCTCTCATTTCACTTAATCCCAGATCCAGTCAACTTGACACCCAGGATTAGCCATTACACAGGGTCTCCCTGTAGTCCCCGCTGACCTGGAACTCACTATGTAGACCAGGCTGGCCTCACAGAGATCCTCCTGCCTCTGCCTCCCGAGTGTTGGGATTAAATGTGTGTGCCACTACACCAAATTACACTTTTTCCTTTTTATATAGGCCTAAGAGTATACACTGGGAATGGTGCCACCCACAGGGGTGGCTTTTCCCACCTCAGTTAACTTGATCCTGATAATCTTCCACAGGCAAGCCCAGAGGCCCATCTCCTAGGTGATTCTAGATTTCCTCAAGTTGATGACTGTGATGAACCATCACAACTTTTCTTTTTCATATTACCACAATACTGTGATCACAATACAGTTCAAATCCCCAAATTTCCAGTATCCTTACATAGGTGAGTAGTATTCAAGTTTCCAATAGTCTACAAATGGTGTCATTTTAAATACCATTTAAGGCCAGGTGTGATGCATGCCTGTAACACCAGCACTGGGGAAGTGGAGGTAGGGGGATCAATAAGAGTTCAAGGCTAGTCTAAGCTACATTATAAGTCTGAGATCAGCTTGGGATGGGATATGTGAAACCTTGTCTCAAAAAACAAACTAGCCGGGCAGATCTCATAAGTGGGCTCAAGTTGTGACTTTTGGCTCAGGGAAATAAAAACTTTAATCTTGGGGCTGGAGAGATGGCTCAGTGGTTAAGAACACTGGTTGTTCTTACAGAAGACCTGGGTTCGAATCCTAGCACCCACATGGCAGCTAACAACTGTCCATAACTCCAGTTCCAGGGGATCCAACAATCTCTTCTGTCATCCGCGGGCATTGCATGACATGGGTGCACTTACCTACATGCAGGCAATACACGCATACACATAAAATAAAAATAAATAAAATATTTTTTAAAACTTTAATCTTTTTTCTTTCCCCTCTCTCCTTCCCTCCTTTCCCTTTCTTCCTCCTTTTTTTCTTTGGTGTAAGGAATATAAAAGTCAATTTTAAGTTTATTTGACTCACTGGCTGCTATGATGTTTTTGTCTTTTCAGTTTTATTTTTTGATTCATCTAATGTTTGATATTCATAATTAAGATGTCCAAATGTCCCAATTACCCAAGATGGTCCTAGCTTACTATATAGTTCTGGTGTGTGTGTGTGTGTGTGTGTGTGTGTGTGTGCGTGCATGCGCTCGTGTGTGTGCATGTGGAGGTTGGAGAACAATTCTGCAAAGTTGGTTCTTTCCTTCCACCTTTACATGGGTTCTGGGGATCAAACTCAGGTTGTCAGGCTTCCACAGCTAGCTCTACTGGCTGAGCCACCTCACCAGCCTATGTCTTCTTTATTTAATGAGGATCTCTTGCTGAACCCAGAGCTCACTGATTCTGGCTAGTCTAGCTAGTCTTTATGCCTTGGGGATACCTCTGCCTCCTGAGTGCTGGGATTATAGGCAGCCACCATGCCTGCCCAGCTTTTATGTGGGTTCTGGGAATCCAAACTCTGGTCCTCATGCCTGAGGAGGCAAGCCCTTTATCCACTGAGCCGTTTTCTTAACCCAAGAAATTTAGAAAGACTGCAAAACACTTAGCATAATAAATCAAAAGCAACAACAACGAAACCACTCCAAGGCATATAAATAATCAGAACACCAGGAATAAGATAAAAAGCTAATCCAAAAAATTTCCAGGAAAAAATTTGATCTTGATCTCAACACACATTAAAAAACTGATGACTCAGAGGCTGGAGAGATGGCTCAAAGGTTAAGAGCACTGACTGTTCTTGAGGACCTGGGTTCGATTCTAAACTCCCACTTGGCAGCTAACAACCATCCATAAGTTCCAGAAGATATAATGCCTTCTTCTGACCTTCGCAGGCACTGGACAACACGGATGCACTTATATACATGCAGGCAATACGTTCATACACATAAAAAATAAAAATAGTAACTAAAATATTTTAAAAATCTCTGATTTAGTAGACATGAGTTTGAAATCAGCCTGGGCCACATGAGACCCTGCCTCAAAAACAAACAACAACAACAACAACAACAACCTCCCCCCAAAAAAAACAAAAAAAGAAAGACTGGAGAGATGACTCAGTTAGGCAGTACTGGCTGCTCTTGCAGATGACTGGGTTTGGTTCCCAGCATCCATATGGCAGCTGACACCACCCATAACTCCAGTTCCAGGGGACCTGATGCCCTCTTCTGACCTCTGTGGGCATTGCACAACACAATGCACTTATATACATGCAGGCAATACACTCATACACAAAAAATAAAAATAATAAATAAAATATTTTTAAAAAACAGAAAAAGAAAGAAAAAGAAATGAAACTAATGATACCAGACTTCATTAGAGTAACATCTGAAATTAGAAGACAATGGAATAATGCCCTCAAAGTTCTGAGAAGAACGTTTTTCAGCCTAGGATTATACCCATTCCAGTAATCACCAAGTTTTGAGTCTACAATAAGACATTTTCATACATGTGAGATCTCAAAATATTTACTGTTCAAAGTACATTGTCCTAGGAAACCACTAAAGCTATACACCCACCTCTTTCCAAACAATGCACTTGGTAACCTGTGACCTCCACCTGTACCACGCTACAAACGAACAGACCTAGAGCTCCAGAGCAATCCTAAGGAACTCCCCTTTTGTGGCCAAACATATCCTGAAACTTGGGTAATGGGCCAATCCAGCTTAGACTTGTTTTAGGTACATTTACAGTAAGCAAAGTGTGTTCTTAAAAAGAACTGTATGTATATACGTATGATTGGAAGTTAATATGATTAAAATTAGATGCTTCATGGGAAAGGACATTTTCAGTTATCAAAGGCTTACTTAACCCAAGCCTATCAATCATAACAGTGCTGGCCCAACACTCCAGATGTAGAGGGCAGGGAGGAGTCCCCATTCCTGTTCTATGAATAGGCAAACATGGCTTACCCAGCCTTAAAGCTCTGACTTCACTTTATCACCCTCCTTCTCACCTTTCCCCTGCCCTCCCCTTAGGGAACCCCCCCCCCCACAAAACGACAAACAACCCAGAAAACTCAGGCTGGTGGGATAGCTCTGCAGCACCTGCCACCAAGCCTGATGATCTGAGTTCAATTTCCACAACCCATGTGGTAGAAGGAAAGAACAGACTCCTAAAGTTGTTCTCTAACTTTCACACTACACACACATAAGTAAATGTAATAAAAAAATCAGTTTGGTGGAAGTTTACCACAGCACATTAAAAAAAGTTTTCACCATTGTAGAATGTTTTAAAATTCTGCCTTATTGTTTTAAAATAATTAGAAATAATTTTATCATTCTATAGGTGGTCAGAGTGGCTTTTGTTTTTTCAAAATTAGGATGTTAGGCCTGGCAGGGTGGCACTTGTCTTTAATCTTAATCCCAGCACTCTGGAGGCAGAGGCAGGTGGATCTCTGTGAGTTCCAGGCTAAGCCTGGCCTACAGAGTGAGTTCCAGGCCAGCCAAGATATACACAGTGAAGCCATGTCTCAAGAAAGCAAAGTTAAAATGGTGACATTTCTATTTCTTTCTACAGAAGTAAATGTATAGTTTTGGCATCTTGGTCACTCCTGAGCAAGTTCCAATTCACCCCTGGGGAGGCTATAATGCCCTTCCAGCAACATAACTTCTGATCATACACCAATCAAAAATTATGAAATGATTCAAACATTGCATGGGGTTCAGATGTATAAAAATAGGAAAAACTGCTTCCTCAGAACATCCCGGTAGCTGGCCCTGTCAATAGTTTGTTTCGCTCCCTCACTAGAGACTCTTTCACATCTGGGTTGGTACTGGGAACATCTATTTCTCCCTAGACCAAGGCTGGTTTAAATGTAATTAATTAAAATTTCCCTGGGTTCCCATGAAATCGCTACTGTAGTCTCCATTTTCCACTGAAACAGACTGGCTTTCAGAGTCTTGCGCTAAGCACTCAGTACTAAGGGAATGGCCCTGGAGCCAGGCGGTCCAGAGCCTCTCGTCCAACCGCAGAGCTGAGGCGGGCACCAGGAGGTTGTTCAGAACGTTTAACTGGGGGCCACAGAGCTGGTGAGCAGCAGTGGGAATCAAGCAGCCTGGGGGCAGGGGATGGAGTGAGAGGGGAGGACAGGGCGTCAGGAAGGGATCAGGGCTGGCTGGGGGCCGTTGGCATAGGGAGGCAGGTAGAACAGAAAGTCAATCTGTAAGCAAATCCTTACTTGGTCTGACAAAGAGGAGGAAGCTAGTGAGTTGGTTCAGCAGCTCCATGATCTGATGCCTTTCTAAATACATCCTGGCCTGGAGCTCCCTGCTGTCGGGACCTGCCTTCGGTCTGCATTGGGCCATTGCTAGGGTGACCAGAAAGCGTCTGGGAAGCTCAACGCCACGCAATATGGTCACGTGACACCTCTCCCCTTTCCCCCCTCCCTGCGAGAGTGCACAGTTCCAGCATCTTGTCGGGAGTGGAAGGGTGGGTGTGGCAGGCAGGCAGAGCCAGGTGCTCTTGGGGGCGGGTGTCAGGTCCTTCCTCTGCTGGAGCTGGGCTTGTTTGGTCCTAGGTAAATGTTAATCCGAGGATGGAGGCTTTGTTTGGGCCTAGCTAGGTAAATGTTAATCCGAGGATGAGGCTTTCAGTGTTGTGAACACGGGATCTACCTATGACACAAAAGAACTTTTGCAATTCTGAGGTTGTAGGCGGAGAGTCCTAGATAGCATTTTCCCGGTGAGCAGCCTGCACGGATGGTGCTGGCTCCCGGCAGGAGGTCTCAGCCGCTGATTTGTGTGAAAGAAACCATCTGGACCCTGAGCTTCGAAATGTTTGCTGCTTAAGTAGACCAGCGTTACTTAACCTTTTCCTGCTTTCAACCCCTTTCCTATGGGACCCTGGGTATATAGGCATATAAGTCAAACATTTACTGTTAATAGATCAGAAAGAAATGTATTTTAAAACAGCTCTTTGAATCCAGATGTGTTGGTGCACATCTGTATTGCCAGCACTTGGGAGGTGGAAGCAAGAGGATTAGGGGTTCAGTGTCATCCTTGGTTACATAGGGAGGTCAAGGCTAGCCTGAGCTACATGACTGTGCCTCAAAAACTCAAACCAAACCAAATGAAAACAAAAAAATTCTTTGGTATACACATACTTTGGCCATTTGTTACTGATGAAAGTAAATTTGTGTACTAATAAGGTGGATGAATGTGTTCCTCTGTTTTTACATAAGGAATTAAATGTTGGCTGAATATTTGATTCTGCAAGGCATCTTTATGTTTTTTGGAGTTGATTGGTATATTGATTTTATAATTGTCAAAGCTGAGAATGCTGTCGCTCATAAATGCATAACACAAAATGACAGAAGTATGTTTAAGGCCATTTCAATAATTGTTGGAAGTTGTATCCTTTTCCCAAGTAAAAATTCATTTAACAATTTTATTTTATTTTATTACACTCAAGGTAGTAAATCAAACAAGTCAAACACTCAGGACTAGGGTGTAGCTCAGTGGTATAGTACTTGCCTTGCATCCCTAAGATCCTGGGTTCAATTCCCAGCACTGAAACAATAACACTAAGCGAACAAAAATCTAAACAAACATAGCCAAAAGATGTTTTCAAAAGGCTGGAGGAGGGGCTGGAGAGATGGCTCAGCAGTTGAGAGCACTTGCTGTTCTTGCAGAGGACCTGAGTTAGGTTCCCAGAACCCATATGGTGGCTAACAATCATCCTTAACTCCTATACTAGGAGGAGATCTGATGCCTTCTTCTGGTCTCCATGGCCACTGCATGTACATGATATGCTTATATCCATGCAGGCAAAGCATTTATACACATAAAATGCAAATAAATAAAATTTTAAAAATTAAAAGGCTGGGGGTATAGTTCCGTGACAGAATACTGGTCTAGTGTGAGGGAGGCCCTAGATTCAATCTCTAGTACTGCAAAATAAAACACAAAATTCATAATTTGCAGCAGGGTGTAGCAGTGTGCACCTATAATTCCAGCACTTGGAAGGCAGAAGCAGATCATTAAAATAAGTAAATCTTTTTAATATGACCAAATATACAGATTTCATACATGCTGAGGAATGACAGTAGTAAAATACTAAAAGTCTTTGTGTTCTATAATGGAACCATTTTTTCTATATAAGCAGAAAACTTTGCATGTAGAGTAATTGCAGTTCATTGTGATAGCTTCAACCTGAGCTGAGGTGTTTCAGGCAGTGTTGCTGTTGTGTGATGAGATGGGCATGGGTAGTGCAAAGTGTGTGTGTTGTGTGTTCAGAACCAAGCCTGCAGTGATGTCAGGTGATGCAGCAGAGGTAAACTCTGCCAGAAACACATCAGATTCATTATGTGTTTGATTTTGAATTCATTTTTGGTTTTTTAAGAAACTAAAATCTAGGCCTCTAGCTCAGCAATTAAGAGCACATACTGTTTTTCCAGAGGACACATCAGATGACTCAAGACCACCTGTAACTCTAGCTCCTAGGGGACTCAACACCTCTGTCTTCCATGGGCACCTGCACTCAAGTGCACATACCCACACACTGACAAGCACATATATACATAATTAAAAATAAATAAAAAAAAATTAAAAGAACTAAACTTTAGACTTCTGTCCTTGGATCTATCTTCTGAAGCCTATGCCCCTTATCTTTCACCAAAGAGTTAGCCCAGAACCAGACACCTCAAGAAAAGGAGGGACTGGAGATATGGCTGGAGTTAGTCTGTTAAGAGTGCTTGCTGTGCTTGGCGAGGACTCAAGTTTGACTCCCAACACCCACAAATGCCTGCAACTCCAGGTCCAAGGTATCTGATGCCCTGTTCTAGCCTCTGCAGGCACCTAAACACACATGTGTGCACGAGCACACACAGACACACACATAGACACACATGCAGCATAAAAATTAAAAATAGCTGGGCGTGGTGACACATGCCTTTGATCCCAGCACTGGGGACCAGAGGCAAGCAGATCTCTGTGAGACTGAGGCCAGCCTGGGCTACATAGTGAGTTTCAGGCCAGCTGGGGCTACAGGGAGACCCTGTCTCAAAAAGACCAAAAAGAGAAAAGAAAAAAATTAAAAATATGGGGCTGGAGAGATGACTCAGTGATTAAGAGTGCTTGCTGTTCTTGCTGAGGACCTGGTTCACTTCCCAGTTACCTACGTGGTAGCCCACAACTAACTGTAACTCTAGTTTCAGGGACTTCAAAGCCCTCTTCTGGCTTCCATGGGCACCAGGTACGCACACGGTGCACTTAAAATACATGCAAGCAAAGCACTCATACACATATAAATCTTAAAAGAGAATGCTTCTTTTAAAAAAAGTAAAACAATTTAAAATATTTTTTTAATTAAGGAAGCTGGGCACACCTTTAATCCCAGCACTTGGGAGGTAGAGGCAGGCGAATCTCTGTGAGATCGAGACCAGCTTGATCTATATAGTGAGTTCCAGGCTAGATGGGGCTAGATAAGAGACCCTATCTCAAAAAACAAACAAAAAAATTAAGGAAAAGGAAATACTGGGCTGGGCATATCACTCAGCAGTAGAATGCTAGAAGTGCAAAGCAGTTGGGTCACTCTCTAAAACTGCAGTAACAACAAAAAGTACAAATAGCCAATGGATATATATAATCTCAGCTTTTTTAGCAATGTTGCAAACAAATTAAAACTACAAGAAAATATCATTTTGCAGGCTGGAGAGATGGCTCAGCAGTTAAGAGCACTGACTGCTATTGCAGATGACCTGGGTTCAGTTCCCAGCACCCATATGGTGGCTAACAACCCTCTGTAACTCCAGTTCCAAGGCATCTGATGCCCTCTTCTGGGCTCCTTGCATCAGGCACACATGTGGTACACATACATATATGCGAGCAGAACATTCATACACATAAGATAAAAAAAAAAAATAAAGTATGAAAAAAACATAAGGAACATCCCTGAATGGAGGGAGAGGTGACTACATGGGACCCCTGGGTACAGTTCAGCACCACAGCTGAGGACATTTTGTCTTCTTGTGAACTTCATTGATTTCTCTTTTGGAGTTACCTGACTCCAAGTAAATAGCTCTGTTCTTTGTCTTCCAGAACCTGCAATAACACTAACATTGCAATGATCTAATTTCCTCCACCTCTGAAGTCAGGCTGAGGTGAGCACATGGGCCCTACTGACACCTTGCCCAGTTGTTGAGTGTTTTTTGTTTCAACAGTTTTCTATGGCTTTCTCCACAATGGATTGATATGGTCTGCCTCTCAGTGTCTCTCAGACAGTGCCTTGCATCTCCAGTTCCCTTGGCAATGTTGCTGAAGGGAAGTGTCCAGGTGCCACCTAGTGGAGTCAGCTATTCTCTGTCCTCACTATCTCTTGAGCCAAACTGGGCTTCCTTATCTGGGAAATCCTCATATGCTTCTCCTTCTTGAACTCTGTCTACCTCCTCATTCCTCTTAAGATTATTCCTAATCCTGTTAGTGGTTTGAGAGAGTGACTTGGTGGAAGGCATGCATGCAATGGTTCTCAGTCAGGGCTGCCACTTGGAGTCCTTAACAAAGTACTTCTGATATTGCCTCAGGGGTAGTGACATAGGCCTGTAATCCTAGCATTTGGAAGGAAAAGACAGGAAAATCACAAGGTCAGAGCCAGCCTGGACTACATAGCAAGATCTTGTCTCAAAAATACAAAACAACGGGCTGGAGAGAAAGATCGGTGGTTAAGAACACTGCTCTTGAATAGAACCTGGGTTCAGTCCCCAGCACCCACATGGGAGCTAAAAAAAAGTTTGTAACTCCAGTTCCAGGGGATCCAATGCACTCTTCTAGCCTCTGAGGGCATTGTGTGCATGGGTGCACTTACATGCATGCAAAACACTCATATATGTGAAATAAAAATAAATGAAAAATTAAAAAACTAAAAATTAAAAAAAAAGAAGTTAGTAATAATTGGCTTGACCTGCCACGGTATCAGAGCTGGAGTTCAAAACAAAGCAAAACAAAACAAAGTGCTGACACTTGGACCCTATAATGAGCCTGTGACACCAAATCTCTTGGGATGAGGCCTGGACATGGATGTTTTGTTTTTGCTGCTGTTTTAACAGCTTTATTGAGACATAATTAACATTTAATATACTGCACATTTTAAAAGCATAGTATTTGATAGATCCTGATATATGTAAGTAACCATGGAACTCATCACAGATGCCCTCACACATGCCCCTCATCACACATATCAAAGCCCTGCCACAATCCCATCCCACAGCAACCTGACTGCTACCTATACCTGGACATTAGCTTCCATCGGATAGAGTTTTATATAAATGGGACTATGTAGTATGTACTCTCTTTCTTGGGGGTGGTTCATTCCCTTTTCTTGCTGAG